CTCTGAAGCAGCGTCCTTGGGTGGCACAAATACTGCACACGCTCAACTGCTAGCCAAAAAGTGGAAGGTTTGAAGCCCTACACCGGTGCCTTGGAAGAAGGACCTGGTATTCCACTTCAAAAGACTCAGCCCTGAGACCTGGTGGAGACCAGTTCTACTCTGGCAGGCACAAGGTGGCCGGAATCCTGGTTCCCTGTGAGGAAGGGGATCACTGGGGATTGAATTAAGAAAGAGATTTTCTGTGAGTATCCTCATAGCAGCGCGGCTTCACTTTCCCTGGATTACAAATAATTGTACGAACAGAGACCCAGGAAGTACGCTGTGCTCCTTCTGTGTTCAGCTAGCGGTCAGCCAGTCCATCCCTTGAGTGTGATCTTGACAGAAGCAGATGGCCAGCCCTCGGCGGCACTGCTGAGTAGCTTACCTGTCGAGGGCAAACCGTTTGTACTACCCAGGGACTCTGAAGGGTGAAAGACACCCTGACTCCCTGTTGAATCTTTCCACTGGGAACAATGAGAGTTTGGAAGAATTGATGACATCCATCATGCCCCTCCTCTGAGTTAGGGTGGCGCCCTGAGCATCCACAAAGCCCACTCTCCATTCTGGAAACCCAGCCCTGAGACTGACCTTGGCCAATCTTTGATCTAGGGGGGTCGCATCCTCTGTGGGGGCCACCGACACCGTCTGTTTCTTGAGGTCCCACCACAGCAGCCCAGGACCCAGGGTGCTGCGTTTGGTTGGTCCTGAGGGTCAAGGAGAAAGAGATGGAGGGGGTTGGTGATGGGGCCCCGGTGTGGAGCAGGGGAAGTCCTGGTGTCTGATAGATTTATGATCAGCTCCCTGGCAGGACTGCCCCTCTCTGACGTCAGAAAGAAATTGAAAGTCATTCATGATTACCCTAGAGGGTCCACGGGTGTGTTCCATTCACTGTTGTGTGCCCAGTATGAAGAACAGTGCCCGGCACATCAGAGGTGCTGAGTAAAGGCTGGATGACCTAATGCTCACAAGACCTGGCACTCGCAGAAGGGAGGAGAAGTACTGCTCACGTTGGGAATGTCTGTCTCTAACTGCTCCGTGGGAGTCCGAAGCTATTTCAGCACCTCGGACAGCACCCAACGTCTTGACCACTAGGCCAGGACGTGATATCACAGATCGGGATGGGGACCTGGGGGACGGGTGCCTAAGTTTCTCCTTCTGCAAAATGCCAAAAGTGACTGCCACCCCACAGGGCCGTCGTGAGTATAAGGGGCTCCGATGTGCCCAGCAGAGTAGGCACAAGGCCAGTGGAGCATCCTTCTTCCCCGTTCCTGCCGACCCGGAGGCACAGGGACTAATGGGTGCACTCACCTGTCAGGAAGCTGACCAGGGCTCCACACAGCACAGTGCTCAGCGTGCCCAGGGCACCATAATAGAGGTAGGAGATGGCGTAGAAGCTGTCAGCTAAGGCCGGCCGGCTGGAGTCCAGCCCAGAGCTGGAGGGGATGAGGTGAGCAGTGAGCCTCTTCCTGCGCCCCTTCCACATTCAGGAGCCATCTGTCTCCCTAGCCACAGCCTCAGCCTCACCCTCCATCGGTGCCTGCTAGCGTAGGCGCAGCACGTAGCCAGCCCGTCCTCTCCATCCCCTGGCATGCTTCATACCCAGCCGAGGGAGCTTTCCTAAAACTTGAGTCAGATTATCCCCGGCTCCTCCTTATCGCCTCCCATGGCTCTCCACTGCCCTTAGAATCAAATCCACTGAAACGCTTAGAAGAAAGCGAAGGTGTGCCTCTTCAGTGCCTCGGGATATGATGCCAAGCATACCGGTGACCAAAGGAAAAAGAAATCAGACTTCATCCACATTTAAAATGTTTGTGCATCAAAGGATAATATCGACGCTAGAAGAGTCCTGGTCGGAAGGAGGGCAATGCAGCCCAGCGTTTTAAATACTCACGGAACCAGACTTTAGGGAGCCACGGACACTGGATAAGTCCCCCAAACTGTTGCCTTGATAAACTTTTAAAACACGATTTGGGGTTTCTCTGAGGCTCTGATGTTGGCCCTACGGGGGTTCCATGTTGTCTGGAGGAAGCCCTTGTCCCGTTGCACGCTAGATAAAGTTTAGCTTAATAAGCAGCGTGCCAGCCTTCGTTGGAGAGGAAGCACACGGGGCCATGTTCACGGGGAAGGAAGAACCCAGAAGAAAGAGGGGGGACGGGTGGCACAACTTGCAGAACAGAATCTGGGGCGCTCACTTCTACATGCAGACACTGTTGGGTCTCACCAACACCCAAACACACTTTTTTATGGGCAACACGCTTGAATGGGCACTTTAGAAAAGAATACACACACACACACACACACAGGGGAGAGAGAGAGGGAGCGCCCCTAATAGCTCGTGGGAGACAGACTTAAACAATCTACACACCCATTCAAATCATTACCATGACAACAAACAAAACACAATGGCAATGTTGGTCAGGCTCGAAAGCGAACTGAACTCTCATACCCTACTAGTTGAGATGTAAAATGCTACAATCACGTTGGAAGGTTTGGCCGTTTACTAAAGGTTCAATATATACCAACCGTTGACTCTGCTATTGATCCCAATGTAGGACAAGAGATAACCTGTCTGTAAAACCCCTGCACAAGAATGTGCACCCCAGCTTGATTTCAAAAGAGAACCCCTCCAACAGCCACCCACTGGAGGCCGGACAACTGGATCGGGATCTAGCCGTGCCCAGAAACATTTCCAAGCCACGAAAAAGAATGAACTATGGAAACCTCAGACCTGGTGCCGAGAATACAAGAAGCCTAGCACCAAAGAGTGTGTATTTGAGAATATGAAATTCTGGGAAGGGAGGGATTCATCTATGAGGAAAATAAGAACCGGAACTGTGGTGAAGAGGGGAAGCCGAATGTCAACAAGAACAAGAAAGAAACTCCCGGGGGTCCTGTGAATGTTCTGTGTCTTTCTTGCCCAGTGGGCTACAAGGCGTACCCATTTTCAAAACATAACACAACAGGTGAGCATTTTACTGCATGTAAAATGTAACCCGAGAAAGGGATCAAGTGGGAGATGAAGAGAGGGTGGAGGTAGAGATTAAACAAAATGGCAAAGTTGATGATAGTCAAACCACACTTAAGGACATTCATGATACTATGGTGTTTACTTTGTGATTGTTTACAATTTTTCCACAATATCAGTTTGTTTATTTTTTCAAAAACAGGGGTGGGGGTGGGTGGGTGGAAGATACCAGCAAAAGAGTGAAAAGACAACATTGAGGATAAGATATTTGTCAGTCACCTATCTGATAAGACTGTAGTAGTCAGTAAATATAAACAGCCTCTGTAGTTCAAGTTCAGGAAGAAAATAGCCCAATTTTTAAATGGGCAAAGAAATTGAACAGACAGATCTCCAAAGAAGATTTACAAATGGTCAACAGACTCAAGAACAGATGGTCGATGCCTCAAGTCCAGCAGGGAGATGCAGACCAACGTCAGAGTCAGAAACACAGAGAACAATAACAAGAGTCAGAAACACAGAGAACAATAACAAGAGTCAGAAACACAGAGAACAATAACAAGAGGGCGCAAGCCATCTCAAGTGCTACTATTGGTCACTGCCTGCCCCGAGCAAACGAGTGAAGACAATTGAAGACACGTGGGAACAATTAGTCGGTGGGATTTTGGACCACGCAAACCTAGGTTCCATGCCCTAGAGACCAACAGAACTAGATGGTGCCCAGCGATCACAATTGCTCTGAAAGGGATCGCATTCAAAGGTCCTGGATAAAGAGGAAGGAAATATGGATCAAAACTCAAAAAAAACTAAACAGACCAGGCATACTGGTCAGAGACGGCTGCAACCCCTAAGGCTGTGGCCCTTAGCCTTCAGGCCTGAAAAGCGAACTCACGCCTGCAGCTCGATTTTCAACCCACCCTCCGACAAGTCTTAGTGAAAAGACTGGGTTGTTCTCCTGAGAACAACCAAGCATTGGCATCAGAAGGGCAGCATTTGCCCCAGGACAAAGTTCAGAAGGGTGGTTACTGTTGAGAGCTGTAGAGTCCACTCTGACTCATAGAAAAGGAAACACTGCCCAGTCCTGTGGTGTCCTCACGAGTGATCTCCTGAGGTCCACTGTGACAAGTGATAGATTCCTCGGGTGAGAAACACCTCGGTCCTTGGCTTGCAGGAGAAAGAATTCACACCCAAGCCTCGTTTGTGATCCAAGTGGGTTTTTATAAAGGATAGACGTTTCAGGTTTTACCATACATGTGGCGACCTGAGGGTGGAGGTAGGGCAAGGGGGGAGGAGAGCGAGAGCGAGAGCGAGAGCGAGAGCGAGAGAGAGAGAGAGAGAGAGAGAGAGAGAGAGAGAGAGAGAGAGAGAGAGAGAGAGAGAGACCCTGCAGCATGGATGAGCGGAAAGGCAGAGGAACGATGGGAAAGAGAGGGTGGTCACCAGGTTCTGGCCACGTTGGGCCTTTCGGCTGGGAGGTGTGGTCAACAGTACTGGTTGACCCCATTGGCTGAATTAAGCCCACCAGGCCTAGATTGGGGCCCACCCACGTGTACCACCTTCCTGGCTCTTAGGCCTGAATTTGTGCATGCCTTTTAGCCTTTATTGCCCCCTAGGCACGGAGAGGAGCACCGCCTCTCTTGCTACCTACACGAAGGTTAGCAAAGGAAAGGTGTACACGGGAGACACAGGGAGGAAGGGGGAGATGTAAGTGCTGTCACCTTGTGGGGCTTGTCGTCCATGACCTTCAGCCACGTGTCTGCGGATTGTTGAAGGGCAAACTGATCTCTTCTGTAAACAGTCACCCAATTCACAACAAGAAACAGCTTTACGAAAACTAGCCTTGGCAAGAATATGAGGGAAGTTGAAACCCTGGTAACATGCCTGGCGGGAATGGTGCAGCCACGACGGAAAACATTTTGGGGGGTGCTAAAAAAGTGAAACCTAGAACTACCGTACAAACAAGCCGTTCCACTCCTCGGCATCTGTATCCAAGAGAACGGACCATTTCGGTGCACATATAACCCCTATGAAAATGTCCGGCACCGCTTCATTGACCACAAGCAGCCCACATGTTCATCCGCAGGGGGACAACACAGCGACTACCCTCCATACACTGAGCAAGGAACAGGGACGACGTTCAGCTCTCCATGATGGCATGTGATGCTGAGTGAAAGTAGCCAGGCACAGAGGGCTGGAGTGTCTGACCCTCGTTCTAGGAAACATCCCCAAAGAGGAGAATCCATAGAACAGAAAGTGAATTAGTGGTTGCCAAGAGCTTGAGTGACCGCTAAGGGCTATGGGGTCTCCTTGGGGGGATGAGAATGTTCCTGAGTTAGATAGTGGTGATGGTTGACTGAGTCGTACACGTTGAAAGGGTTGATTTTATGCTATGTAAATTATATCTGAATTGTAATTTAAAAAAAATCAAACCACATCCCTTCAGCTGGACCTCAGCTGCCCCTCCTTCCCTCTTTCCTATTAAATCTCTCCCAACCTCATTGTCTACCACTGGTCTGTCATCTTCTTGTACTGTGGTGGCTTGCATGTTGCTGTGATACTAGGAACTATACCACTGGTAGTTAAAATACCAACAGGATCACTGTGATAGGTAGGTTTATTATGCCAGCCTGGCCAATAGGAACATGTGGGATTAATCAGGTCGCAGTTTGATTGGAGGACAAAGAGTTAAATGGCTCTGTAAGACCCGCCCCTCCCCATCCCTCTTGCTCTCTGGTGATTAGAGCATGCTGGAGTGTGCTGCTGCTTTAGCTAGTTCTCCGCCTCAATCTGTGAGCTATACTACCTGTGGGCCAGGCCAATCCATGGATTGTAGATCTTGTCGCCAAAGCTTGAGGCTCCTACAGAGACCTGCTTTGCCACGCTGCTGGTGCATATATCGCTTGAGCTTGAGGCTGGTGGATCCTGTTGCCTTGCATTACTTGCGTTTGATATCCCATCCAGGCCTGCTTCACCAAGTTCCCAAGCTCCTGACTGTTGGTGACCCATCCTGCTGCTTGCTGCCTGTGAGCAGACTCTGCTTGCCTTGCCCTAGGGAGGACTCTGCAGTCTGCTCCCTTGACCTTGGATCTGGCAGCTCACGTGAGTTGAAGGACTTCCTGTGTATTAACTGAGTTCAGTGAATTGAACTGAACCCTCTGTACAGCTGTGTGAACAAATAAGCTGTTATATTTCTTCTGGCTGTATAAACCTATCCTTCTTGTATATAAAAAAAAGATCATAAGTGTCCTGGTTTCATTTCTCTAGAGAACCTTGCCTAACACAGTCACCCATGGCAGACAGGTTTTGGCAGAGCTTCCAGACCAAGAACAGACTAAGGAAAAGGAAGCGGAGGTCCATTTGTAAGGGATTAGCCTGTGAACAGCAGTGGAGCATTGACAGATACAGTGTTGGAAGGTGGGCCGGTCTGGTTGGAAGGCACTGCAAATACAGCTAGGGAAGAGCTGGCCCCCCAGAGTGGGTTTTCCTGACCCCGATGGAGCAAAGCTCTGGCGCCTTTTGTTTGCTGGTGGAGCGTGACTCCAACTGAGAAGAAACAGCAGCAATCAGGCATTAATAAAGTTGGAGTGTGTGAAGGATGAATCTAGGAAGATCGGAAGTTGTAAAAAATGAAATGGAATGCATAGAGTTCAATACCCTAAGCCTTAGTGAGCTGAAATGGACTGGTATTAGTCATATGGAATCAGACAATCCTATGACTTGTTATGCTGGGAATGAAATTTCAAGAGGAATGGTATTGCATTCACTGCCAAAAAACACCCCTTTCCACATCCATCTTGAAATACAATACAATACAGTGCTGTCTGTAGTAAGATAATATCTATGTGACTAAAAGAAAACCAGTTAACCCACTATTGTTCGAATTTATGCACCAACCACTAAAGCCAGTAATGAAGCAATGGAAGAAGCCTATCAAGTTCGTTAGTCTAATATTAATCACGCATGCACTCAAGATGCATTGATAATTATTGGTCATTGTAACGTGAATACGAAATAAGAAGGAAAGATCAGCAGCTGAAAATATGACCTTGGTGACTGAAATGGCAATCATATGATCGGATTTTGCAATTCCAATGACTGCTTCATTACAAATGCCCTTTTTCCAACCACACAGATGGAAACTATACACATCACCCTTGCCAGATGAATGCACAGGAATCCAATTGATTACGTTTGTGGGAAGAAACATTAGAGAAACTCAACATCATTAGCCAACATGAGGCTAGGGGCTGACTGTAGAACAGACCATCAATTGCTCAAATGCAAGTTCAGGTTGATGTGGAAGAAAATTAAACAAGTCCATGGGAGCCAAAAGACAACCTTGAGTACACCACACCTGGATTTAAAGACCGTCTCAAGAACAGATTTGAGACGTGGAGGACTGATGGCTGAAGACCAGTTGAGTTGTGGGATAACATCAAGAACATCACACGTGAAGAAAGCCAAAGGTTATTAAAAAGTTAGGAAAAGAAAGAAAAGCCCAAGGTGGATGTCGGAAGAGACTCTGAAACGTGCTGTTGAACAGAAAGTCGCTAAAGCAAATGGAAGACATGACGCAGTAAGTTCGTTGAACAGAAAATTTCAATGAGGTACTCAGTAAGACAGAGTGAAGCATGATCATGAAATGCGCTAGAGCCGGAAAACCAAAGCGTGCAAAGACCCAGAGCTAGAACACGCTCACCAAATTTCAAGCTGAAAGACCTGACGAAGACAGTCAAGTTGCAATACTGAAGGATTCTCTGGGCAAAATGTCGAATGATACAGGAAGCATTCAACGAAGATGGAAGGAATACAGAGTCACTGCACCAAAAAGAATTGCTCAATGTTCCACCATTTCAGGAGTTAGCATGTTGTTAAGAACCAATGGTATTGAAGGAAGAAATCAAAGCTGCGCTGAGGGACATTGATAAAAATTTTTTTTTAAGCTCCAGGAATTGACGGGATACCAAATGAAATGTTTCAAAACATCAATGCAGCAAGAAAGATGGAAATTGGAAGCTAGTAGCCAATCATCTGAAATGATTCAGATCTGTGCCCATTCCAAAGAAAGGTGACCCAATAGAATGCAGAAATTATCAAACAATATCATTGATATTACATTCAAGTAAAATGTTGCTGGAGATACATAAAAACAGACACAGCAGAATATTGACCGAAGGTTGCCAGGAACCCAGGCAGATGCAGAAGAGGACGTAGAATGGATCTTGGCTGAGGGCAGAGCATACGAGGAAGATGTTTACTTGTGTTTCATTGACCATTCGACTGTGTGGATCATATCCAATTAGAGTTTACACCGGGAAGAAGGGGGGTTCTGGGGTACTTCGTTGTGCTCTGGTGATGTTGGGGGTTGGGTTACTAACCGCAAAGCTAGCAGTTCAAACCCACCAGGCATTCGGTGAACTAAAGATGAGGTTTTCTGTTCCTGTAAAGACCTATAGCGTTGGAAACCCACACGGGCAGTTCAACACTCTCCTGTGGAGTCAACACGAGTTGGAACAGACGCCGGCAGTGACATTGAGGGTTTTTTCCTTGTTACTTTTTTGCGTTTTAAATTGCGCTCATGTGGAACCTGTCATACACAGACCAAGAAGCAGTTGTTTGAACAGAACAAGGGGAAACGGTGTGGTTTAAAATCAGGAAGGGTGGACATCAGGGTGGCATCCTGTCACCCTATTTATTCACTCTATAGGCTGAGCAAATCACCTGAGAAATTGGATTACGTGAAGAAAAACGCAGCGTCAAGACTGGAGGGAGAGCCATGAACAGACAGTGTGAGTATGCAACAGACACCCCCTTGCTTGCTGAAAGGGAGGAGGACTTGGGGCAGGCACTTCATGAAGAGCAAAGAACACCGCTTTCAGCGTGGAAACAGACGAACAAACAACAACAACCCCCCCCCCAAAAAAAAACAACCCTCACAACTGGACCAGCAGACAACATCCCGATAGAGACAAGACAGAAATTGTCAAGAATTTCGTTGTACTTGGCTCCACAAAGAACGGCTCACGGAGCAGCCGGCGAGAAATCAAACCTTGCCCGGGGCAAACCTGCTGCCCACGGTCCATTTAGAGAGGACTAAGCTGCCCCCGACCCCAGCCATGGCATTTTTCAATCACCCACGCAGCGCAGGTGGCAGCTGCGAAGAATAAAGGAAGCAGACTGCGGAAGAATCGATGCGTTTGAACACTATTGAAAGGACCATGGACTTGACGGAAGGACAAACAAATCCTTCTTGGAGGAAGTACAGCCAGAATGCTCCATCGGAGAGAGGGGGGCGGGACTCTGTACTTCGTCCACGGTCTCAGGAGAGACCAGTCCCTGGAGGAGGACATCCAGCTCGGAGAAAGACTCAAAGGAGAAGGACACAGGGGCTGCCAAAGATGCCCAACAATGGTGAGGATGGCGCGAGACTAGCTGTGCTTCCTTCTATTGTCCATAGGGGTCGCTATCTGCCGGGGATGACGTCAGAGGCACCTAACACACCACCTACCTCACCGACCTTCAAGGGAAACGTAACACTGCCCCTGGCTTCGCGCTCCTTTGTACCCTCGGCCAGAAACGTCCTTGCCCTCCCCTCCGCCCGTTTTGGTCTCGCTAGTGGAGGCTCAGCCCAGACCACACCCGCCCAGGCCACGCCTCCCACACCTGCCCGCTCACCTGGGCGCGGGGCTGGGGGCCTTGGAGATGAGCAGGGGGCCCAAGAGGCCAGAGGCGTTGGCTGGTGAGGCCGCGCAGCCCGTGGCTGAGGTGGGCAGGACCCCCATGGTCTGCTCACTCGGCGGGTACAGGATGGCACCCACAGCCACCCACAGCGAAAGCGCCACGCCCATGATGAGTCCAGAGAGAACTCCCTGGGGAGGGGGAGGGAGATGGGGGAGTATCCTGCTTCAGGGGCAGGGTTAGTTCGGCTACGCCCCCACCCCTCCAGTCCGTTCTTGTGGGTCTCTCACTCACCGGCACATTGCAGGCGGGAAGGAACATTCCCAGGATGAAGGCCCCCAGGAGGGGTCCGCTGATGACACCCATGACGGTGAAGGAGCCCTAGGGGTGGGGGGTGGGGGTGGAGCCAAACTCACTGCTATCTGACTCATAGCGACCCTACAGGACAGGGTAGAACCACCGCTGTGGGTTTCTGAGACTGTCACTCTTTACAGAAGTAGAAAGCCTCCTCTGTCTCCCCTCTAAGGGAAAGGGCCCCTTATGTCTGGCTCGTTCTCCTAGATTGGAGGCCAAACCTAATTCTGAGTCATGACTGGACACACAGTGAGTTTTGCATGAATCATCCTAATGTCCTCTCTCATGTCCCAAGCACCCCCTCTTTTCTCCGGGGGTCCATTTCCCTCCAAGAGCTGATGAGGTCAAGGTGGTCTTGCCTCTCACTCCTAACTCCTTTCCCGCCCACTTGGAGTCTCAGTTTCAGGGGAAGTCCAAGTCCTTGGAGGAGAACTTGGGGGGAGGGGGCTCACCTGGAGGACTCCGCCCCCCAGCAGCGAGGACAGAGCTGCCACTGTTAGACAGGCTGAACCATAGATGAGAGCTGCAGGGGGTGTAGCAGGACAGTCAAGGGTGAGAAGCCCCATCCCCACCCCTGGGTGAGGGGCCAAGAATGTGTAGGCAAATAGAATGAGCAAGTGTGCTCTTGTTTCGGGGCAATCAAAAGGGCCAGGGCAGGGCAGGCAGGGCTACATGGGGCCCAGGTCACAGCTGGGGGCTCACAACAGAAGAGCATTATGGAGCAGTGGGGTGGGGAGAGCTGGCTGGCTGGGTCTTGCTTCTCCCCTGGATTTAGCACAGCAAGACTTGCCCCTAGTTGTAGGTACTCAATAAACATTGGTTGGCAGTATAAGGAGGGAGGGCAAGAAAGGAGAAAGAGAGAGGGAAGAAAGGGGAGGGGGGAGGGGGGAAAAAAGAGAAGGGATTCAGGGACCAGGAAGAGGGAGGGAGGAGAGAGGAGGGAGGGAGTTAAGCGTGGCCCTTCCAGGAGATAGGAGACCAATCCCACAGCCAGGGTCTTCTGCTCAGAAGCGCCCAGCCAGAGCCCACCTGAGCGGCCCACAGGGGATGGAGCAGGAAACCTGGCTGGTGGGCAGGCCCAGAACATTCCCCCCACCAGGAGGGATGCTGCTGGGGACAAGGAGGCCCTGAGGGACTGGGACAAGCCGGGTGAGTGGTCAAAGAAGCTCACCTGAGGGTGCCACTGTAGGCACAGGCCAGGAAAAGGCCCGGGATGCCAGGCAGGTCTTCAAAGATGTCTAGCACCAGCAGGGGCATGTACTGGGGGAAATCAGAAGTTAGCGCCAGGGCAGCCACACCTTAAGGGCAGGACCTCATGTCCTGACCTGGAGTTGGTGTGGGGGGAGGGGGGGGGAACATCCTCTCTTCTCCAGCCTCTGTTTCCCCATCTGTATAGTGGGTCAAGGCCACCTTAGCTCACTAGCTCTTGGAGTATTTGATGGGAGGCTAACTGCTTGGGCAGGGACTAGCACAGGCGTTTAGAACATGGAAGACGGCGGTTATTGTTATTAATATCAGCACTTTGCGTCCAAACCATGACCCATCTCTTCCTTGCACTCCGCCAAGGGGCCCCTCTGACTCCACCCCTTCTGCCCCCC